ATAGCTATGAGTCAGAACTGACTCCACCACAGTGCTAGAACCAAACGGCAAATCTACTGTGGATTTTGAGTCTTTCTTGTAAAATTTTCTAGGTCTTAACTTATTCTCACATCAATCTAATAATTCAACCTTCAAGGAATGTTGAAGAACCACCCAAGATATAATCACAGGTATCACAGTTCAATGTCCAGAAGGGTCAGTGTCCTCAGGGAGTCACTGGGCAGTGTAAATGGGAAGACAGAGTATAGGTAACTTGGTCTACAGCTGTTTGCCTAAATGTCTGAAGGCTAAATGTCATGTCAGTTCTTTGTGGTTGCATTTGTTGAGCACCTACTATGAGGCAGAAGTTAAGCTGAATGCCTTTTATTCATCATTTAGCTTTTAGAAATATCACAACTGAGCTGTGAAGACATTCACTAACTCACCTAAGTTCACTGAATCCAGAAGTGATGAGTGGCAAAGTAGTTATTAATAAATAATGGTCAATATTCTGCTCACCAACACTTGTCTGGCAGTTTGTGGTGGCTCACATGCTGCTATGATGCTGGAAGCTATGCCACCGGTATTTCAAATACTAGCATAGTGGATAGGTTTCAGCAGAGCTTCCAAACTAAGAGTAGGAAGAAATGTCTGGCAATCTATGGAAACTTAGTCAATGAAACCTGATGGGTCACAAGAGTGCATTGTCCAACTTGCTTGGTTTGAACAGGTCATCAGGGAGGGTTAGTCACTAGAGGAGGACATCAAGTTTGTGAAGTAGAGGGAAACCCTCGGTAAGATGGACTGGCAAAATAGCTACCATGGTGGTGATGGTGAGGCCAGGGCAGGACTGGGCAATGTTTTGTTCTGTTGTGCATAGGCTCTGTGGCAGCTAGTAACAATACGCATTCTGTTCCCATATGGCTGTGACAACCAACAGAATGAAAACACTTTCAAACAGGAGGATGAGGTAATCAGAAAAAACGACACTAAGTTTGGACAAGCTGAGGGAAAATGCATGGTTCCATCAAATTCAGGTTTAGCATCAAAGAGCACATGGCTGTCCTGGTCAGATGTGTTTAATAGGCAGAGTTACGAAATGCCATCCTAGTCGTCAACCTCAGGATTTTTGAGGGTGTGGATTTAGGAGGAAGGAACCTGCTGGTGACTGAAGGACAGGGACCTAGGGGGAGATGTAAGGAAGGATAAGGGGATGCTCCCAGAAGGTTCTCTCAGGCGTGGGCAGGTGAGAGACTGGGCATCCTGCCAAAATGAGATAATGTCAAGCATGAAGGTCAGTCTGCTCTGTGAAAGGTGAGGGCGGTGATGTAATCTCAGAGAGTATCTTCTGAACTAAGTTGGGGGATGATTGGGGTGAGAAGGTGGCGTGTGTGGGCGGAGGTCTCCAGTTGGTTTAGAGTGAGTGGCATGTGTTAATTAAGATGATATTTTGTAAATTTTGAGAAATTTGAAATGCTTATGGAATGTGCGGTTTCTGCTGACATTTTGGCTCTTTAATACTGTGCACATTGCCAATGTTCATCTTGATGTTTTCTTTTTAGGATTTGAGATAGAAGATTATGCCAAGTTTGGTTTCTGCCCTGAGGTAAAGAGTGGAACTAGGGCACATTTAGGGAATATCGTTCTTGTCGTTGTTGTTAGGTGCTGTGGAGTCGGTTCCGACCCATAGCGACCCTGTACAGGGTTTCCAAGGCTGTACATCTTTATGGGAGCAGAAAGCCTCCTCTTTCTCCCGCGGAACAGCTGGCAATTTTGAACTGCTGACGTTAAGGTTCGCAGCCCGATTCGTAACCACTGCAATATGAGGTCCAGATTCAAATAAGCTCAGTGATCACCTGATCAGTCTTTGAGGTGGGACTATTCCCACTTTTGTGAGACCAAGGATCCTTATGTGACTTAGGAGAGAGACAACCCATTGAATGCGGATGTTTTCAGAGAAACAGGAATAATCGAGGATATCAGAGTTCAATGTTCTAAAGGACTAATATCCCTGGGGAGTCCTAGATGGCACAAATGGTTAATGTGCTCGGCTGCTAATAGAAAGTGTGGAAGTTCAAGTCCACCCAGAGACGCCTTAGAAAAAAGGCCTGAAAAACAAAAACAAAAACATTGGCCATTGAAAACCAACCCAATGGAGCACGATTGACACACAAGGGGTGGCCATGAGCTGGATTTAATTCAATGTGAGAGCAGCTAGTTTTAGCACCCAGGAGAAGCTGCTCGGGTCCACTGTGTGTGCTTGTGTGATTTCTGATGGTGCCTCTCAGCTCATCCTCAGGGCCTGGGTTTCAAAGGACTCTGCTTGTTACGAAGAGGGACATACTTGGGGAACCCAAGGTCTCTCTCTGAGTGGGTTTGGTGATGATATACCCTGGGCGAGCCCCACTGAGTGGGTGAACGTGTGGGCAGGTGGGCCAATGCTCCCAGGCTTGCCTTCTTTCTCACCATGTAAGCCGTGCTTGGCCAGATGCTTGTACAGCTCTAGGAAGTGACAACCAGGTTGGAAGGAACCCCCGTTGGGGTAGAAGTCGTAGTGGGCCACGGGCTGTTTGATGCCCACACTCAGGCCCATGTGTTGCCGAGTAAAAGTGTGAATGGCATCCACAAAATTGGCGTCATCTGGCGAAAGACGGTCATTAGGGGAAGTTCCCTCAAACAAAGGGCCAGCGGCATCCAGCCCTAAGAGGGAAGCAAGAGCAAGGTTAGGTGGGACATGGAGAGGGGAGGAGAAATGCACCGCTTAATTTCTGATATCATTACACATCACGTCAGCAGGGGAAAGAGAAACCGAGGGCATGATCTTTCTGTAGGAAATCTCACCGTAACCTTTTTGTAATAAAACCACAGTAATTCATGGCACTGAAACTTAGACACAGGCTGGACTGTAACTTGCGGGGAGAGGGAGCTTTGAAAACTATCCAGTGGTTGAAACAAGATTTATAGGGAAATGCATGATTTATTTAAGCAGTCAATGTTAAGTACTCCTCAAGTTATTTTCAAGAGTATCTATTTACTTACGAAAAACAAAACAAAACAAACAAATAACCTAACATGCTCATTAGTGTGGTGCTGTACAATCACACTGGACTTTAAACCACAAGGTCAGCAGTTCAAACCTCCCAGCTGCTCCTTGGAAGCCCTATACTGGGTCGATCTGAAGTCACTTAACAACAACAACAACCATCCATCAAAGGAACAGCTATTTGCCTGCATGTTGTCAGTCATGTTCCTAAACAAGCTGGCTTTTCTGCTACACTCATGTCACTTCACTGGAATGTCCTCAACAGCCTTGGGACATCACTGTGAGCAAATAGGACTGCTCACAGCCCTGGTCCTCAAGTGACAGATGGGTTTGCATGAAGTAAGTGGCCGCTCTTGGCTGACTCTGGTTGGGGAGTATTTTTTCACTCAAGACCTTTTCTCTGGAGGACACTTTGATGTTCCATAGCAGCCCTAGCTTCCAGCCCTGCTGGGGATGAAAAGGCTGATAGTGGGCTAGGAGATCACGTGTTCTCCAGTGACAACTGAAGGATTTCTAGGTGTGATTTATATGCCTTCTTTCATCAGGCTGACCACAGGGTCTGGGGAATGTCTGCTGTGATCGTGGCATCAGGCAGTGGGTGGGGGCCCTGGGCTTGGGCCTAATGCTACCTCTCTGCCATTCAGACTCAGGCCCTGACCCCTGTACCCCAAAGATGGCCTCACTGGCCTCTGGAAAGCTGGCTCAGCCTGAGGCTACAGAGGGTTAAATCAGCAGAGTCAAATGCTGATGTGTGGACAGGGCTTCACCAATCACCAGCAAGATGGGGAAAAGTAAGGACAGGATGTGAGCTCTCAGAACCACCAATTTCTTTAGCTTTTATGTCTGGCACTATCGCTATTCTTTTTTACATGAAAATAAGCCTGTCCTTTTGTAAAATAATGATAAAAAGCAATGTTTTAAAAAATGTTCTTAACTTGGTTAAACAAATGTTCATCCCAGATTTTCTTTCAATTGCTGTTGTCGTTTGTGAAATTTTGTTTTAGCTGGAGGAGTCTTGAAAGATGAGTAAGAGTTTGGTAGGTAGACCAGAGGTGGGTCGATGAGTCGGGAAGGTAAGACATTCGGGTCAAAGGACCATGATGCACATGCAACAACACAGATATATGAAGGACCGTGCTGTGGTTGTGAAGTGGAGACGTTTTATGCATGTGGAGCTGTTGGGATGGGCAGCAGAAGGAGAAATTGGAGAGGCCTGGGGAAGTCACACGGAGAAGGGCCTTCTCTGTGTCTGCTAGGGTTTGTCCCTGCAGGATCAGTGGGCTTCAAGCTCTCGGCTAGAGAACAGTCAGACCGGGGTTCTGTGGACAGAGGGGCTTTCTTTCACATCTCTGGCTTTTGCTGGGTAACACAAATCTTTTGTGGAGGCTGTGTGGGATTCCACACAGTTTTGGTGCAGTTCCTTTCTGCCCTCCAGAAGGGTCCTGGAACAGGACAGTGTGTTTCACAAGTGAGGAAACTGAGGCACAGATGTGGCTGATGTGTTGCGGTAAATTAAGGGTGATGACATTTCACTCCCTAACTTGTCTGACTTGCTGGGATTTTAATTTTTTTCAATTTTTTGTTTTGGGGGGGCGGGGTTTGGAAACTATAGATTAACAAATAAAACCTTTCTTGCTTTGAAAGCATTTAGAAAGCCCTCTTTTTAGGTCTTGTTAGGCATGTCCAGGAAAGGTGTCAGGAGAGAGGTGATGGGAGTAAAGCTGTAATCTCTTCTGAATTCTTTTGGAACAGGCATCTATGATAGTGGTCCTATCTGAGTAAGGACTCCAATACAGCATAAAGGAAGTTGAAGGTGTCTTAATTATGAGCTAGCTGGAAAAGCTGGACCTTGCTCCACACCGCTGAGCATTTCTGGAGATTACAGTTAGTTAGTCATCAGGTACAGTTACCTGTAATTCTCCCAATCTTGTGCGCTCCGCCAATGTAACTGCCAGCAAATCCTGAGACGTGTGCACCCAGGCTGTACCCAATTAGATGAACATTGCTTCGAGAAAATTGCACAGATTCCTGGAAGACAGCAGCAGGGTGATTGCAGGAAGACAAGAGCTGCCGGGATGACAGGCTCTGGTGGGTGCAGCTAGTCTGGGAGCCTACACCCTGCTTTGGCATCTGATGGAACTTCATTTGTACTCCAAATAGTAACTGGCTTTTTATCTCTCTCACTCTCTCCTCTTGTAGGGCCGCTGCACATTGCCAAGTCAGCTCCCTGGCACCCTACCTACCTGCCTTACCTGCCTACCTGTTTTCTTCACCTCAATATTAATGCTCTGCAGAAGTGATGTTGTTCGTTTGTGTGGGGTTTGAGGGCTTACAAAGTGTGTTTAGATCTCTTAGCACTAAGCAAGGGTCTGAACATAAAAGAAATAGTGGATGGACTGTGGGGAGAAGATGGGTCTACAAAACAGGGGTTGAAATGGACCCTGGGTTAGGTCTCTGCCCCGTGAACTTGGTGGAAGTGGCTCTCCTCTCTGGGTTGTTGTTGGAGACCAGCTTAATTCGCTCACTGGGAGAAAGGGAGAGAAGGGTGGGGATGGGGCAGCCTCACCTCCAGCCATCTGAGAAGAGTAGCCACCTCCTGACCCACGCGGCGGGTGTTTCGGACGGCAATGGAGTAGTGGTGGTGGGCCAGGGCGATCCAATCAGCCAGTCCCACATTCACTGGCCGCGATGACTCAGACTTGAGTGCAGCCACCATCTGCCAGGTCCAGTTTTCCAGCACACCGTCCACCTGATGGAGGCCAACAGGCCAGTCAGCCTTGTTGGGAGGGGAGGGAAGGGCGAGGTACATGTTCCTCTTTCTCCCTCCCCATTTCTCTTCCTGCTCTTGCTCTTGGATGATGTTATATTATTGTTACTACAGGATTCCTCAACCTCAACACTATTAACATTTTGTGTCAGACAATCCTTTGTTGGGGGTATGGGGACTGTTGTGTGCATTAGAGAACATTTTGCAGTATCCCTGGTCTCCACCCACTAGATGCCAGTGCACTCCTCCCATGATTTGTGACAACCAAATCAGTAACTCCAGATTTTGCCAAACATTGGGCGTGGGGGAGATGATAGGAAAGCCCTCTCCCTTAAGAACCACTGACAACATTTCTCTGCTTTGGAACTTCCAAAGCCTTAAACAATGGCCTGTGAATCAGGTACAGGAATCTGTCCCATCCTCTGAAGGTCAGCTCTAATGCCACCTCCTTTGTGAAGAGAAATGCCCCTCTGCCTCCCACAGTGTTTGGGCTGATCTTCAACCACTGCCTTCTGCTTTGCATTAGGGACATCAGCACCATGGGTCTGGACGTAGTAGGAGCTCAGTGAACCTTTCCAGGGAATTGTTTGAGGACACTCCACAGGGCACTTCTGATGGGCTCGACAGAGTGCTAGTATTTATGGTGTGATAGTATATATTATCTATTTATTATGGTGTGATAGTATTTATGGTGTATCTTGCAGTAAAACCTGGTGGCTCAGTGGAGTAAACATTGGGCTGCTAACCGAAAAGTCATCAGTTCAAGCCCATCAGCTGCTCTGCAGGAGAAAGATGGAGCAGTCTTCTCTGGTAAAGATACACATCCTTTACCTTACAGAGCAGTTGTACCCTATCTTTTAGGGTCACTAGGACATATTGTCAGGAGACTAGGACATATTGTTGCTGAAGAAGGATATCATGTTTAGAAGGTAGAGGGTCAGAGAAAAAGAGGAAGATCCCCAGCGAGATGGATGCAAAGTGGCAGCATCAGTGGGCTCCAGCGTGGCAACAATTGTGAGGTTGGCCCAGGACCGGGCAGTGTTTTGTTCTGCTGTGCATAGGGTTGCTATGGGTCAGTACCAACTCGATGACACCTAACAACAGCAACAGGAGTCAGAATTAACTTGATGGCAGTGAGTTTTTTGTTTTAAGAAGAATAGAGTGGGTAGGTGAATGCTCCCCCGGGGTCATGCAGTTCTAGCAGAAAGAACTGGACCTGAAGAGACAGATTTACAAAAGGTTGTGGTGTGTTTGGGGAGATGGGGAGTGAGGAGGAGGAGGGGAAGTTGGAGAATTATTTTGGTGGCCTGATGACCATGCTGTTGTTAGGATCAGATGCATTCATGTAATAAGTGTTTACTAAGTGCCTTCTATGTGGGTGTAGCATAGATTGGAAGCCAGTCTGTGTTTAGTTAAAAACTAGGATCTCCTAGTCACTAGCTGAGTGACCTTGAGCAAGTTACTTAACTTCCCTGTGCCTGCGTTTTGTGATCTAGAAAGTGGAATCATAATGGTGCCTACCTTTGAGAATTGTTGTGATAATAAACGAGTTAATAACCATAACTCACAACAGCACTTTGATCCACTGCTCTTACCTGAGGGTTTTCATAGGAAAGTTTTCGTCTTGGATTTGTTGTTGTTGGTAAATGTCATCGAATCAGTTCTGACTCATAGTGACCCTTTATAAAGTTTCTGAGGACTGGCTACTGAGTTCGAACCACTGACCTTGCAGTTCAAACTGATCTTGCTGTCTGGTGCTTATCCTACAGCTCCCTTTAAAACAGGCCCTAGAAAATTTTCATAGGAAAGTTTGCATCTTGGATCCTGCTGTTGCTGTTGCTAAGTACCATCCAGTTGATATCGATTTATAGTGACCTTATGCACAACAGAAGAAAATACTTCCATCTTGCGTCAACTTCTCAATTGTTGCTACGTTTGAGCCCATTGCTTCTGCCACTGAGCCAGTCTTTGTCACCAACCCTCCATTTTACCAAGCATGATATCCTTCTCCAGAGACTGAACCCTCCTGATATTATGTCCGAAGTATGAGAGAAGAAGTCTGGCCTAAGGAGCTCCTAAGGAGCATTCTGGCTGTACTTCTTATGATATAAATTTGCTTGTTCTTTTGGCAGTCCATGGTACTTTTGATACTCTCCTACACCACAATAACTCAAATGCATCAATTCTTCTACGGTCTTCCTTATTCACTGTCCAACTTTTGCATGCATATGAAGTTACTGAAAATACCATGGCATGGGTCAGGCACACCTTAGTCCTCAAACTGACATCTTTGCTCTTGAACACTTTGAAGAGGTCTTGTGCAGCAGATTTGCCTAATGCAATATGTTGTTTTATTTATTGATTGGATTGCTGCTTGCATGAGTGTTGATGGTAAATCCAAGCAAAATGAAGTCTTCGACAACGTCAATCTTTTCTCCATTTATCTTGATGTTATTTACTGGTCCAATGGTTAGGACTTTTGTTTTCTTTACATTGAGGTGCAACTTATACTGAAGGCTGTAGTCTTTGATCTTCAGCACTAGGTATTTTAAGACCTCTTTGCAGTCAGCAAACATTGTATCATTTGCATATTTCAGGTTATTAGTGAATCTTCCTCCAACTCTGATGCCACGTTTTTCTTCATGTAATCCAACTTCTCAAATTATTTGCTTAGCATACAGATTGAATAAATATGGTGAAAGAATACAACCCTGGTGCACATTTTTATTATTTAAAACCATTCATTGTTCCCTTGTTCTGTTCGAATAACTGCCTCTTGGTCTATGTACAAGTTCCTTGTGAGCACATTTAAGTGTTCTAGAATACACATTCTCTGTAATGTTGTCCATTGATTGTCATGATCCTCACAATTGAAAGCTTTTGTGTAGTCAGTAAAGCACAGGTAAACATCTTTCTGGTATTCTCTGCTCTCAGTCAAGATCCATTTGACGTCAGCAATGATATCCCTTGTTCCAGGTCCTTGTCTGAATCTGGCTTGAACCTCTGGGAGTTTTCTGTCAATGTACTGCTGCAGCAGTTTTTGGATTATCTTTAGCAAAATTTTACTTACATGTGATATTAATGACATTGTCTGATGATTTATGCATTTTAGAATGGACACAAATATGGATCTCTTCCAGTCAGTTGGCCAGGTAGCTGTCGTCCAAATTTCTTGGCATAGATGAGTGAATGCCTCCAGTTCTTCATCAGTTTGTTGAAAGATTTTTATTTGTATTTCATCAATTTCCAGAGTGTTGTGCTTTGCCAATGCCTTTAATATCATTGGCTCTTGATCGTATGTTACCTTTGAAATGGTTGAACATAAACCATTTCTTTTTGGTACAGTGACTCTGTGTAGTCTTTCCATCTTCTTTTAATGCTTTTTTAATCATTCAATATTTTGCCCATGGAATCCTTCAATATTTCAAGTCAAGGCTTGAATTTTTCCTTCAGTTCCCTCAGCTTGAGAAATGCTGAGCATGTTCTTTCCTTTAGGTTTTCTAATTCCAGATCTTTGCACATTTCATTCTGGTATTTGACTTCTCGAGCTTCCCTTTGAAATTTTTCTATTCAGCTCTTTTACTCATTTCTTCCATTTGCTTTAGCATCTCTACATTGAATAGCAAGTTTCAGAGTCTCAAACTGACATCTGTTTTGGTCCTTTTCTTTCTTCTTGTTTTCCTAATGATGTTTTGCTTTCTTTCTGAATGGTTCTTGCTGTCATCCCACAGCCACCTGGTCTTCGGTCATTAGTGTCTAATTCATCAAATCTGGTTTGAGATGATCTCTAAATTCAGGTGAGAGATGTCCAAGGTCATATTTTGGCTCTCTTGGACTTCTTTTCATTTTTTTCAGCTTCAGCCTGAACTTGCATACGAGCAAGACTGTTTCACAATCAGCCCCTGGCTTTGTTTTGACTGATTATATGGAGCTTTTCCACTATCTCTTTCCACAGATGTAGTCAATTTGATTTCTGTGTAGTCCATCTGGTGAGGTCCATGTATATATGTTGTTTGAATGTTGTTTGAAAAAGGTCTTTGCAATGAAGAAGTCATTGGACTTACAAAATTCTATCATGTGATCTCCAGCATTCTTTCTATCACCACGGCCATATTTTCCAACTTTTGTTTCCAACCTTTGTATTCTAACTGCCAGTAATTATCAACACATTTTGATTGCATGTTTGAGAATTTCATAATGAAGAAGTTGATAGAAGTCTTAGCTCCCTTTAAAACAGGTTGATCTCTTCAGAATTTGACCTTCTGCCTCCTAGTCCATGTATTTGGTTGTGCAGCGATACCACAGTGAAAGCACAATACAGTGTGGAGGCCACAAGAGGCCAACCCAGCATTCGTGGTACAGGGGGCTCCAGTCAAACCCTATCCTGCTATATGTCCAAAGCCAAAGGTAAGATATCTCCAAGGATTCTTTGGAACTGACTCTAGTTCTGGTTGAATTCTTGCTCTATTGCTGGCTGTGTGATTCTGGGCACAATTTCCTCATCTAACTGACAGACTAGCAACCCATTCTATGCGTGAGGGATGAGGATACAATGGACCCGTTTATGTTATACAGCTTAGGAATGTAGAGGACCTAGGTTGTGATAGTATATACGTCTATGTTAATTCCCTTTTGTAGGGGCAGAAAAACTTTCAACTACCTTAAGGGTCTTCCCTGTGGTGTGCTGGACCTAAAGTGGGACTCTTTAAGTCCTAGGGGGTTGTGCTGATGGGCTGCAAAGCCTCTATGTTTTTCTTCTGATCGAGGTATTCATACTCATGCTACCCCCACGTGGCATCATATGATTCTTCCATTAGACTGTAAGATTATACACCATGAGGGCAAGGGCAGGGGCAGGGGTAGGGGCAAGGGTAGGGTCTGTTTTGTTGACTGCCCAGTGCCTGGTGCCTAGCTCGGTGCTGGCACGAAGCAGGCTCTGGATAGGTACATGTTGGGTGAGAGAGTGGGTAGATGGGTGGCCCATTTGATTTTCAAGATTTAGACAGATGAGGACTTTGAGGTCAGTTTTAAAAAGAAATAGATGGTAGGAAAGGGTTTCAAAGTCATGGAATTGATACCAAAATCTCTGGCAGGGTCAAACTGTGAATTAAGCTTCAAATTGTAGGTGGACTAAGAACAGGGGTGACAAAATTTCCTCTTGGGGACAAGTCTGCATTTGGTTGACTTTACTTATTGCCCATAATATCCTTTCTTCCTCTTTCTATAATAATAGAATATTTAACATAACTGGAAGTTCATCATTAAGAGGATGTGCTTATCAGCCTCCTCCTTTGCACCCAGGCATGGATAATGGATGTAGTTAGAAGCACTTCAAGGGTATTTCGATCAGTCTGATATATATATATATCTTTTAAAAACCCTTATTTGACCCTCTCATGTACATCCAATACTGCATTGTGCTGTCTGGAATACAGATGTGATGGTCATTTTGGACTATGAAGATGAGATCTACATATTAAGAATGGTAGAGCAGTAAGCTAGAAAGAAATGTATCTTTGAGGACTTTACTGAGCAAAGCCATCTAACTGGTTTTAGATCCCATGCCACTAGATTTCTGCATGAAATGGAAACAATCTTCTGTTTTATTTCAACCACTGCTAATTTGTGTCTCCATTTTTGTTGCTAAACCTAATCGTTATTGATATAAGCTCCACTGAAGTCTTTGTCTACTGGCTTCCTCCTTCCTCTTATGAAACATGCAGATTCAGGTAGGAGTCTTCCTTTGGCATGGACCGCAGTCCCTTAAGGACTCTAATGAGCTGTGTGACCTCTGAGAGCCACATTTTATGATCTGAAACATGGAGATAATTATATTTTGCCTGCCCTGCTTACCTCACAGGATTGAGCTAATCAATGAGATAATGTGCAGGGAAGTGCTTGGAAAATTAGAATGTGCTTTACAAATATTATGTATGAAGTTGTTATCATCGGCTCTTCATCTTTTTCTTCAATGCAAACACACTAGGAAGAATAAAGGAGAGCTTAAAAAGGCCTGTTGGCATTTCCTACCGACCACCCGTGGATGATCATCACCAGCGGCAGAGAGGTATTGAAACCACATTTCTGCAATGTGTTGGGGTGATTGAGCTGAATCTGACAGCCTTTATCAGCTGCTTCTTCAAAGAGCAGAAACCTGGTCTTCATCTCCTGTGGTGTTTTCTTTGTTGCAACATCTCGAGAACTTCTTTGAAATGGCTCTGTAACAAGATTGGGAACAGAGCTTAGCCTGACATATATTCCCCTCTGTCAGTTCTGGTACCACTCTGAGGTTAAATAAGAATACAAACCAGTGAGGTTAATGTGAGAAATGGGGCATCAATGTGAGCCACCACCTTGGGAAGCCCGAGAATATTCCCAGCAGAATGGTCATATCTCTCTTGAATATGATGGAGGCTGCTCTGAGCGGACCCATCACAGATGTTGAGGAGGCAGATTCTCCAACCTGCCATCACAATGAACAAATGACCTGGGCCCAACTAGTCAGTCATCATCTCCTGGGACTTTTAAACTACTTTTGAGCAACTCTAAGGCATAAAGACTATAGGAAGGAAAACTGAGACTGAGGCTTGGAGAGAAAGCATCTCACACAAAATCACAATGCCAATGAATGGTAGAGTCAGGATTTGAAGTCAGGTCTCTCTGACTCCAATTCCCTACTTTACGTCTCAATACTAGGAGACTGTAAAGGAAATTCTCTTAATTAGAGGATATCATTGGGCAGTTCAGAGTCCTGGTGTGGCACTGTAGGATAAGCACTGGACTGCTAACCGCAAAGTTGGTACTTCAAACCTACTAGCTGCTCCTCAGAAGCCCTATATAGGATGTCTATGAGTTGGAACCAACTCGATGGCACTTAATAACCAAAGGAACACTAGTAGTGCTGTGGGCTGCAATCACAAGGTCAGTGGTTCAAACCCACTAGTGGGAGAAAGTTGAGGTTGTCTGCTCCCATGAAGATTTACACTCTCAAAAACTCTAAGGAGCTGCTCGACTTTGTCCTATATAGGATTGCTATAATGCAGAATCAATTCAATGGCAGTGGGTTGGTTGGTTGGTTGGTATGGGACAGTTCCATTCTGTCCTGGAGGTTGCAATAAGGTTTGCTATAAGTCAGAATCAACTCGATGACAATGTGTTTGGTATGCATTTATGTACTACCTAAGGACTTCTGGCCACCACTAGCCTGTCAGTTTGTCGTACTGTGGTGGCTTGCATGTTATTGTGATGCTGGAAGTTATGCCATTGATATTTTAAAGACCAGCAGGGTCACCCATCGTGGACAGGTGTTAGCAGAGCTTCAAGACTAAGACAGACTAGGAAGAAGGAGAGATGGACCATTTCTGAATGGTTAGCCACTGAAAACCTCATGAGTATCAGTGGAATATTGTCAGCTATAATCCTGAAAAAAGCTCCTCAGGTTGGAAGGCACTCAAATATGAGTGGAGAAGAAGAGCTGCCTCCTCAAAGTAGAGTTGACCTTAATGACGTGAAAGGAGAAAACTTTTGAGACCTTCATTTGATGATGGAGGAAACAGCTGCAAACATCTATTAATAATTAGAATACGGAATATAAGACGTATAAACCTAAGAAAGTTGGAAGTAGTTCAAAGTGAAATGGAATGCAAAAATAATGATATTGTAGGCATTAGTGAGCTGAAATGAACAGGTATTGGCCATTTTGAATTGCACAATCATACAGATTACTATTAAATAATGATATTGTAGGCATTAGTGAGCTGAAATGAACAGGTATTGGCCATTTTGAATTGGACAATCATACAGATTACTATTAAATAATGATATTGTAGGCATTAGTGAGCTGAAATGAACAGGTATTGGCCATTTTGAATTGGACAATCATACAGATTACTATTAATTAATGATAAATAATATCAATGATTAGTTACTAGTAAACTATAATCATCAATATCAATCATTAATATCACATGCAAATAAAATTTTGCTAAAGATAATTCCAAAACAAGTGCAACAGTACATTGACAGGGAATTCCTGATGTTCAAGCCAGATTCATATCAAAATGTGGAATGAGGAATATAATTGCTGATGTCAGATGGATCTTGACCAAAAGCAAAGAATACCAGAAAGATGTTTACCTGTGCTTTATTGATTATGCAAGGGCTTTCGACTGTGGATCATGACAAGATGTGGACAACACTGCTGAGAATGAGTATCCTGGAACACTGCATTGTGCTCATGAGGAACTTATACAGAGACCGAGAGACAGTTATTCGAACAGAACAAGGGAACAATGAATGGTTTAAAATGAGTAAAGGTGTGCACCAGGGTTGTATTCGTTCACCATACTTAATTGCATCTGTATGCTGAACAAATAATTCAAGAAGCTGGATTATATGAAGAAGAATGACAGGATTGGAGGAACCTTTGATATGCAGATACAACAGTGCTTTGCGGAAAAACGAGAGGACTTACCATACTTACTGATGAAGATCAAAGACCACAGTCTTCGGTATGGGATGCACTTTAATGTTAAGAAAACAAAAATCCTTACCACTGGACCAGTAAATAACATCAAGATAAATGGAAAAAAGATTGAAGTTGTTAAAGACTTCATGTTGCTTAGCTCAACCATCAACACTTATGGGAGCAGCAGTCAAGGAATGAAACGATGTATTGCTTTAGGCAAATCTGCTGCTTAAGACTTCTTTAAAGTGCTCAAGAGCAAAGATGTCAATTTGAGGACTCAAGCCATAGTATTTTCATTAACCTCACATGTACCTGACTCACGCCATAGTATTTTCATTAACCTCACATGCATAAGACCATGGAAGAATTGATGCATTTGAGTTATGGTGTTGGAGGAGAATGTTAAAAGTACCATGGGCTGCCAAAAGAACAAACAAATCTGTGTTGGAAGAAGTACAGCCAGAGCGCTCATTAGAGGTCAGGATGGCCAGACTTTGTCTCTCATACTTCAGACATATTATCAGGAGGGACCAGTCCCTGAAGCAGGACATCATGCTTAGAGGGTCAACGAAAAAGAGGAAGACCCCTCTAATGAGATGGATTGGCATAGTAGCAGCAGCAAAGGGCTCAAGCCCCTTGCTGATTAGCACACTGGGCAGTGTTCCATTCTATGTGCATTAGGTTGCTATGAGTCCGCACCGCCTCATCGACACCTAACAACAAAAACAACAACATGATTCACTGTTTTGAGAAAGGCAAGCTAAAGAAGAATGGTGTTATCGTCACAAAGAGCATTAATCGTCACAAAGAGCATTACAAGATCTATCTTGATGTACAATGATGTCTGTGATAGGATAATATCCATACACCTACAAGGAAGACCACTATTATTCAAATGTATGCACTAATCGCTAAAGCCAGTGATGATGGAATTGAAGAATTCCTCCAATTTCTTAAGTCTGAAATTGATCAATAATGAAATCAAGAGGCTCTGATAATTACTGGTGATTGAAATGTGAAAGTTGAAAACAAAGAGGAAAGATCAGTTGTTGGAAAATATGGTCTTGATGATAGAAATGCTGACAGAATTTTACAAGACCAATGATTTATTCATTGGAAATACTTTTTTGTTAATAAGATAAAATTTGTCTAAGCATGCGGGCCTCACCAGATAGAAGACACAGAAATCAAACTGACAAAAGCTGTAGAAAGATACAATGGAGAATCTCAGCATCATCAGGCAAAACAAGACTGACTGTAAACAGATCATCAATTGCTCATATGCAAGCTCAGGCTGAAGCTGAAGAAAATTAAAAGAAGTCAATGAGAACCAAAATATGACCTGAATATATTCACCTGAATTTAGAGACCATCTCAAGAATAGATTTGATGTATTAGACACTGACACCAGAAACCAGAAGAGTTGTGTGATGACATTATACAGGAAGAAAGTTAAAGGTCATTAAGAAAAAAGGAAAAAAAAAAAAAAAAAAAAAAAAGACCAACATGAACATCAGAAGGGACTCTGAAACTTGCTCTTGAGTGTAGAGAAGCTAAAGCAACTGGGATAAATGAAGAAGTAAGAAAACTGAGCAGCAACATTTCAAGGGCAGCTTGAGAAGACAAAGTCAAGTATTCTAATGAAATATGCCAAGATCTGGAGTTAGAAACCAAAGGGGAAGAACACACTCAGCATTTCTCTTTCAAGCTGAAAGAACTGAAGAAAACATTCAAACCTTGGGTTTCAATATTGAAGCATTCTAAATGCAAAATATTGAATGATACCGGAAGCATCAAACGAAGATAGAAGGACTACACAGAGACCCTGCACCCCAAAGAATCAGCTGGTGCTCAACTATCTCATGAGGTAGCATAGCACCAAAAACTGATGGTATTTAAGAAAGAAATCCAAGCTGCACAGAAGGCATTGATAGAAACCAAGGCCCCAGGAACTGATTAATGCAAATTGCAATGCTTCAACAAACCGATGCGGCATTGGAAGGCTCTCAGTTGAGTTTGCTAAGAAATTTGGAAGTCAGCTACCTGTCCAACCCATTGGGAGAGAGCCATATTTGTGTACATTCCAAAGAAAGGTGACCCAATAGAATGCAGAAATCATTAAACTATATCATTAATATCACATGCAGGTAAATTATGCTGAAGACAGTTCTAAAATGATTGTAGCAATCATTGACAGGGAGCTGCCAGAAATTCAAGCTGAATTCAAAAGAGGATGTGAAACGAGGGATATTATTGTTGACGTCAGTCCAATTGTTGTTGTTAAGTGCTGTTGAGCTGGTTCCGATTCGTAGCAACCCTGTAAAGGGTTTTCGAGGAGCAGCTGGTGGGTTTGAGCTGCTGGCCTTGTAGTTCAAAGTCCAGTGGATCCTACAGCACCACACCAGTGGTCCTTGATGTCAGAAAGACCTTGAATAAAAGCAGAGAACACCAAAAAGATGTTTACTTGTGCTTTATTGATAATACAAAGGCATCTGTCTGTGTGGATCATAACAAACTATGGATAACATTGAGAAGAGAACAGTGGGCATTCCAGAACACTTAACCATGTTCACGAGGAACCTGTTCATAGACCAAGAAGAAGTTGTTTGAACAGAACAAGGGCATATTGACTGGATTAAAATCAGGAAAGTTGTGTGCCAGGGTTGTAGTCTTTCACTATACTTATTCTATCTGTATGCTGAACAAATAATCTGAGAAGCTGGATTATATAAAGAAGCATATGACATCATG